TGAAACAAGATGGTTACTTCTACAACTGAACGTGCCGGTCGTACCTTTTCACCGCTATTTATATTTACAAACAAACAGATTTTGAAACATTTGTGGTATTCCTTTGAAAGCAAGTTAAGTGACCATTAGTTAAAATTTCAAATATTTCTACAATCTGGACTTATTTTGGTAAAGAAATGACCTTTACATCTACAGAAAGACGATTTGTCCCAGTGAGACACCAAGCGACACTATGTTTCAGCGTTAAAACAAGTCCACAAACATCGGCGGTTCCAAAGGGTGGAGGGGCTCAAAAGACTCAAAAAGAAGAAAAATGGAGAAAACATGAAGTAAGAGGCAAAATGGGACCTGTAGTAGAGGAAGGTCCATTATTCACTTGATAGAGGAAGAAATCCTCAAATGCATGGAATGCAAGATTTTAAAGCCCTCCATTTTCAAAATGTTTTAGGCGTGGCTTCTCCAAATCCAGAGAACTTCAGCCATCATTGTCCATAGTTATGGTATGTTTATTTTTTCTCCGAAAGTTCAATTAAGTCAATCTGATTAAAGTACAGATCGAAACGCGATTGACCCATAAGACAAATTTCATGTAAAACGATTTTTAGGTCGATAGAATTTTTCACAAATCAAATCTTCTGTTCGATAAAAGCTTTGTCTCGACAGGAATTATTGGGTATTCATTGATCAACATTGATTGAAATCATCAGCCCATTTTTATCAGTGATTTTTTAATGATGTCTTAATTAAGACGCTATTGGTTTAAACAGATTGTGAGATCATAGGTGGTGAGTGTAATGACTCTCATAAAATAACGAAACGCAACATCTAAATGAATATTTTTATAATTTTGACAAAAACTCGGGTTTGATTCATGTACGAAAAGGTCAAGTATTCACGCTTGAAAATAACTAAGTGAAATAGTTACCTAAATGAACTACAGTCAAAAGCTTGTAAGTGCAAAAGATTACAAAGAGCCATCCAATGCGAAAATTGATAAAGTGTGTATTGTACAAGATAAACACCAGACACCTATAGATCTGATCACAATGACAAACATAACTATCGCCCAATTTGTATAGATTCTCAATTGTCAACAATTAGCTTCATTGATCCAAATTGAGACATCAGACTTCCCCATCGATTGAAATCTTACTAAACAACACGCTGGGATCTCCTCTTGTCAAATGCCAATATAAGTACGAAAATAGACACTCATTTCATAGTGAACCTGCTATGTTTTTTATTGAAATAACAAACATACAATAGCACGGATTAACTGATTTGACGATTCACCAAGAGACAGCAAGGAGTGATAGTAACTAAGAGACATCAACGGATTTGATGATTCACCAAGAGACATCAATAAGTGATAGCAACCAAGAGACATCAATTTATTTTACGATTCACCAGGAGATAGCATGAAGTGATAGTAACTAAGAGACACCAACGGATTTGATGATTCACCAAGAGACATCAAGAAGTGATAGTAACTAAGAGACATCAACTGATTTGATGCTTCACCAAGAAACAGCGAGGAATGATAAGTAACCAAGAGACATCAACTGATTTGATGATTCACCAAGAAACAGCGAGGAATGATAAGTAGCCAAGAGACGTCAACTGATTTGATGATTCACCAAGAGACAGCAAAAAGTGATAACTAACCAAGAGACATCAACTGATTTGATGATTCACCAAGAGACAGCAAGAAGTGATAAGTAATCATGAGACATCAACTGATTTGATGATTCACCAAGAAACAAAGATATCTCTGTGTTTTGATGGAGTCACAAAAGAGCAACTATATATTTATGAGTCACCAAGAAACATCAACGTTGGGGTCATAATGATGTCTTATGTGAGGAACACCAAGAAAAGAGGGTTGCAGATTTTGGTCAGTAAGAAAAGGTTAAAAATTGAGAAAGAATAAATGTAATGTAATTTTTCAATCACCATATTATTAGTTTGACGATTGCGCCACTCTTGGAGGCGATTGGTTTTGGTGACGTTGGTCAAAGCCTATATTTTAAGCCAGCAAAGCCATAGTAATACAAGTAGTAATACCAAACTAAATATTGTTCTTCTTTCCTTATTGACACAACTTGTAGCTTCACAGGACAAGTCAAATTTAATTAATAGTAATGGTCAATCGGTAATTTACTTCATTTGTATGTACACCATCTTTAGGCAAGTAATCCTATAGTCACCTCTGGCTTATAGACCACCATCATACAAAATTTCATATAACGTCAAAGCTCAATTCGCGCTTTTAACTATCTAGTGGAATATTGCTTCTAGGGGAATATTGCTTCTTTAAATGGAAGGGAGAATGATAAGGCTAAAATCAACATTTTCAAACTATTGGAGTATTTTAAAGTTTCACTTTGTAGACAATTCAATTGATCTGTGATGAATTATTGATTCAATGGGCCTTTTTTGGGGGTGAGGGTCGGGGCTATTCTTGTACTTGGTGGAAAATGGGGTAACTTACTCTGGTACCTCTTGATTTAATTGATTATCGATACATTAAGCCATAAAAAGAGTTCAAAATATAGGCCCTAATTTCCAATGAAAAAAAATCTTCTGTAAATTTAATACAAGAGATACCAAAAAGTCATATTTCATCTCCATCTGAAACTGTACATGGGATTGGTTGAAGTTGATCCACTTTTGGGTTTGCCTTAAACTTTGTGATTATATAACATTTCCAACTCATAGCGAGAATATTTTTTCTGCTTATTATAATGTTTGTTTAAGCTACTTACATTAATAGCATTGAGTTTTAATATTAACGCCTGTTTGTTGCAAAACCTCATGATCATGCCGTGTCAAAGTTATTATGCATGCCTTTAAGTCCAAAAACGAGCTCGTGGTTAAAATTCACATTATTACCTTTCTTTTTCAACTCACACATTTGACATTAGAAAGAACAGCGAAATATACCGCGTCTTTTTTAATAAATAAAGCCCTCATGTTTTGTTGGGCGTCCGCATGTTGATATTTGAATGGTTTACGTGGAATAACGTAAATGTATTCAATTCGCGAGAAAAGAATTGCCTTGTTCAAATAAAATGGCTAGAAAATCAAACATATTCAAACCTTTTTCCTATTTCACAACTCGAAGTTTAAAACTTCGTGGACCAAATTTTATTAACTGAATCAATGATCCAGGTATATGTAACAAATACAATTTAGATTTTTCTATAGTTCAGCAAACCAAAAAGGATATTTGCATAATAGCAGAACCTGTATGACGACTTGATGTCAATTTGATACTTGTTCAGGTGTAACGCAAGGTTGTCTATTTAGAACCTATCTTTTTCATTCTTGTACAAATGACTCTGTCGAAATAGAATAAAAAATATATACCATATTTTGTGCATGGCATAATATATTGCATAACAATTTTAATAGCTTTTAAATCTTTATGTACAGTAATACTATTTTAGTTTTAGTTTTTTTGGATGCCATCTTTCAAATTCTCTAATATGACAGGTGTGGAACAAGTCCCTCTCTTTTCCATCATTACTAAAACAAATATATTATAGAACTATTAAACTATGAATATAGGACATGCAGGAAAACTTTGCACTTACCACATAAATAAAGGCCAATGGTTAAGACAGAAATCACACTTTTCCGAACCATTTTGAATCCCCGGTCTTTTGTGATATTCCTTTCAGTTCAAAATCAAAATAAAAACTAAAGAGAAGTATATTAAAGAACTAATTTAAGTTGTATAATCCGTGAATGTATATTTAGTGGTAAATCGGTCTGTTTGGCTACAATCACGTTAACGTCGTTTCTCTACCATTCGCTGCTAGCACTGACTTCAAGACACGACTACCTGCACGTATTACTATGACAACGACGATCATACCCCTCTCCCTGGCAATGTTGACGTCGTGAGATCAGAACGTGATTTGAGTTCAACTAAAAATTCATGTTTAAAGGGTAAGGAACATAGGTTGTAACGATTGGACCAAATTGTATCGAATTGTAAATAATCTATGTTAGTGGTAGACCTGGTAGAGCAGGGATAAACTAAACAAATACGACCATTGTCCACATACTTGAACCTATATTGATCTTTAGTGTCCAGTTTTATCCTCAATTGTTACCTTTTAAACTTTTTTTATCTCTATGGTAAAGATTCCTTTTCGACTTATCTAGATACTATACTAATACTGGATATTACGAAAAATGTTAAAAAAGTAACTTAATTTATAAGATTATTTCTATCACTTTTCAGTGGCGTATGTAGGAAACATTAGGTGAAGGGGCCGAGAGATGACCACAAAATTTTCAAGGGGGGTTGACGGGGAGCAGGGGGCAGAGGCCATTTTTTCACTATGACAAATGTTTTGAAGAGACAGAGCTCTGTGTCTAAAATGCAGATCTTGGTTTTCGTTTAGTGTCATCCATGAATAACTTGACACAAATATATGGATAACAATTACTTAATAAAATATCTTGCGACGTTTCGACAATGGTTCTTCCGTCTTTTTCATTGCTTATAATTGCCATAAAATTGTGTTTAGTTATTTATTGCCCAATTGCTAAATGACACTTAAGGAAGACAATGTCATCCATGGTCTTACGAATTGTTTTCCAACTGTTGATCGGGTAAAGTTGCCATGATTACCAATAAAAAAAATAATAAATGTCGGCTTTGAATACTAATTTTAACTGTGAATATAACAGAATTACTCCTATTTAGTTAGTATATCTTTGATTGAGCAGAGTATGCAATTGTTTAGTATTTAACATCTAAAACATGTAGTTGATAATTATTTCGTCAGATAAGGGATGGTAAATGGAGTCTACCACACATGAAAGTCATAAACGAAACGTTTAGATCTGCATTTTAATCAAAATGGAGCCGACACTCTTCAAGCATCAACATGACAGATTCCTTAGTTTTGGTAGAATTTCCATTCAAGGTCAATGACAAAAGAAGAATTAAGTTTTATTTCTCAAATCTGAATTTCAAGTGACACTTATCCTTTAATAATATATGGCCTGGATCTTCGAGATATATATGGAAACTGGCCCTTTCTTGCTCTGAAATAGAGAATAATTAATAGATAATAGATAACTGTTATCATATCGATATACATGTAAAATTCACAGCTCAAAATCCGACGATATCAGCAGTAACAATATTGCTTGTGAGTCAATGCTGACATTATAATATATGGCAGAGCTCGCAAAGGTTGAATCCTCCCTGTCGGTGGTGCTGCTCAGTAGAATACTCACGGATTCTGGGAGATCAGAGCTTAAGGATATCGTTGATATACAACAGGGCTCTAACTTGTGAAAGAGCTGGTTGGTGGTAATGTTGAGCTTGTCACTGTTTGTAATTTGGATGCTGACAATAAGAGAGCAAAGAGATGTTTAAACTAATAGCACTTCAACAGTACTTAAAAAAAGAAATTTGAACACATTGACAGTCCATGGTGTTGGAGGTCGAATTCCAAGTGACTAAGTGTAAATGTAAGAAACAATTTCATTATCAACTGTTGTAATTTATTAAGTATACAGAGACTTATTTACCTGAACCTGCAAACACCGTGAAAATCTAAATCATTTTCAATATGTTTTAAACCATAGCCTTTATCATTTACACATTCAAACTGGTCGTCACATCTGAAATTAGAAACATACTATTGATCATAATTGGTGATAAGTGTTACCATGTGGCTTAACTATCATAGGGAGTGGTTGGACCAAGTCCACGGGCCCTTATCCCAAATACAAAAGCAGAAGAGCATATATATATAAAAAATAATAATAACTGGGGTGGGGTTATTCATGTCCAAACCACGCCCCCATTCATCATACCTCCTAAGACAATGTCAAAACCCGTGTTCGTGATAAGATGCCGGTTCGGTTGTGGGGGAGGCGGAGGGTTTGAAAACCCACTTATCTATTTGACCATAAAATCATCCAAAATTGACACACTCATCACTGTTCTTCATTTTAAAACAATATTAACATCGGAATTTTTGCCGAACAGTTGGATCCAGATGTGATTTTCCGTACACTCAGCTTGCAGTAATAGGTCTACAGCAAGAGCATGGGCAACGTTGTCTCGGTTACAAGACTTATACATGCCAAACAAAAGACCACCTTGGAAATGAAATCTATTTAATTTTGTTCATCATCTTATCTGAAAACGCACTCCAGTAACTTCTAATGATGTGTGAAAGAGTATTTGATTCGAAATTTATCCTGTTCAAATAAATCCGTCTGAAGTAGCGAATAGATGGAATACCCACTATCTGTCCCTTCCCACCAAAAACTCTGTACCAGCATCTCGTCTATTTGGTTATTCAATACCCCTGCGACTGCAGCATATTGGATGTTGTATACACCCAAGAACCCCACCCCTTTACCAAACGACACCTACGTCAGTATACTCACGGAACTGAATAGCGATCACAAGGATCCTTATGTCTTCCAGCACATTCATCACAACATCCACATGGTCTCCTCTTTACAACACAATATTTTCTTGATAGTGGTGCACAATTTGGAACAGCAGGACATGGTTTACATCCACCAACGTCATTTTTCAGAATAAATCCATTCACTGATGGACAAAAATGTACAAAAGCAACGAGCACAGGAACGATTAAAATCCAACCTGTCCGTTTCATCTTTGGTCTGTATCATGAAATAATGAAATTGAAAAAAATCCAGAAAAACATCGTGAATGTCCACATCTGTGCCAAGCCTACAGAATAATATGACGACATTTAGCAGCCCAATTAACATGTAGGTCTATAGATTATAGATTTACTATTGAACTGTTGTCTGTTTTGTAGGGCAAAAACGTAGGGCGAACTTCGACTGCCTTTGATGATAAACGAATTGTTTTTTTCAAACATTTCATCAGGTGAAATATTGAAATGTGGTTAATTGAAATACCAGGTGCCAGAATCAAAAACGTTCCGTCAAGATTTCCAATGAAACATTTTTAGGATAAAATTGAAAGATCTGAGGCCCCACCAGTCTTTACCTGATCCGGCACACTTTTTTAATATTTTATATAACTTCGTAGGCGTTACTGCACATCGATTCTCAGACCCTATGGGTAGAAGTACGTAGATAACCATAATTCCCCGTGGACTTTGTTTTCTTTTTCCAATTTTTTTTTTTTGTCTTAGTGATAATTAGAATTATTTTTTATCACTGCTTGTACAATGCTAACAAAAGCGCGACAAAAACCCAAAACAAAACATTTATTATCATGGTTAGTTTTCCTTTTAACCAATAAGTTAATTAACCTTGCCTCGTTGAATACAGTTGTCCCAGACGATGTTATAGGTCGGAGGGTTGACACGGAAAAATCGTGAATCGGTTAGAAGAGACAATAAACAGCTAGACGGTTATTACGGGTGAATATCAGATGATATTATCTATCTTCATTAGTTTCATACGATTGAAACGAAGTTTTTATCTTTTTTTATAGTTTGATAAGGTAAAGTCTGTTCACAAAAAAAAAACTGTTCAAAGAAGAAATGCCGAATTGATTAAACCATTTATCATTATAGATTATATTGTCAATATATTATAATGTAATATTGATATTTTAAATATTCTTGTAAACACCCATTATTCATATCACGTTGGTCACATAATTGACCCAGGAGCAATACATCTGGACAAAGAATGTTAAATTCCTCATTTTATACTCTCACATGGAAATTTTGTTTAATCCCACAAGCCTCAACCGGAAGTAAAGAAAGGCGCGACACCATAAACCTTAGATTTTCACAAAACGAAATATTAAAATTTTGACGTTTGCATACTTTCAACACAATTATAAAAACAAAATCTTAAGAAACGGGAAATATGACAAAAGCCGACAGTCGCTTCAATGCAAAATCCATACACGCAAAAAAACAAACAAAAACATTTACGCTCATCTGTTAACTTCCTTTTAGGATGTTTGATGCATTTGGGTGGTTGACTACACACAGATATGTTTTTTATATCACATTATGGCTTTGCTTTAAAAGTAACACTCTTCAAAACGAAAATCCGATAGGCCTATACAGCAGTAGAATCAGAATATTCAGACGTAAACTATATCTTGTTATAAGCGAATATGAATTGGACGTCGGATTTTTAATCAAATGACGTAGCTGAATGATAAGAAAATTGGTAGTTTATTGGTATGTCAAATTCCAACAGACCAAAACTTGTTACTTTGGTATATATTTGCGTATAAAAAATCAGCTCCGTTTAAAACAATGAAGTTAGCGTCGTAAAAAGCTTTATGACGTCATAGACGATCTTAATTATTCTGGATAATGTCGCGAAGACAAACAGAAACCATATAACAGCGCTCAACAATTTTCAGCAATTTTCGAAGATTTTTTCACATTAAGTGAAGAGAATTGTTAAATTTTCGTAGAGAACTGTTTGAGAAGTTTACCCAGGTAAACAATTTACTAATTATAGCTACAGGATGTCGGTGGGATGTTGGTGTTGCATTCAGGGGAGTGTCGACATTATCGACACGTCAAAACCTTTTGTGAAGGATAGTTGCGAGAATATAGGGCGAATGTCTGATAAAAATAAAGGATATGCCGTAGAGGAATTACCTTATACTATTGTAAATGGTGTCTGTATTCCTAAATTAGACTTATCATGGCTATATGAAGAGGACAGACTACTAGAAAAAAGAAATAGTCGAAAAAATGCCGTAGGGCAACAGAAACAATGCCAAGAGAAGAGAAATAGCATCGATAGAGCCTCCATAGAAAGAGTATGGAATGATGAAACTTTTAGAGTAAGTCCAATTGTTGAGTTTAGTGAAACAGGGAGTTCTGATTCAACTTCAACTATATCAACAGATCGCTCTGCAGCCAAAGAAACAGATACAGGTATTGCTGAGCAAAAAGCAAATGATACTAAAACAAAGGTCACTTTGAATGGAGAGTCTAAAATGTCTTCTGCGATTGAGAGGCGATGGAGAAAATTGGAAAAGCTTGAACCATCTAAAGCAGCAGAATTAAAGGAGTATCTAGCAAAACATGGATTCAAGAGTAAAAATGTGGATCAGGAAGAAGAAAAGAAAAGAGGGGAAGAAGAAAATGCTCAAATAAAGGAATTTATTTCTAAATATGCAGTAAAGAAAGTCTTCATGTCACAAGTAGAAAAATCAGCTCCCAGAAACTTAATTCATGAAGCAGATGGGAAAAGTACAAAGGAAACAAGGACAAGAAAGGGAGACAGTAACAGAAAGGAAGAAAGTACAAAGAGTACAAGCGAAAAAAGCACAAGCAGGAGACAAGATGAAAGTTTGGACGAAGGTACAAAGGATGAAAGTATTAGAAGGAATGAAAGTACAAGAAAGGAGGATAGTATACGAATAAATGAAAGTACAAGACAGGAAGAAAGTACGCGGAGAAAAGCCGGTCTGACAAGCAAAGGAAGTAGGGAACACAATACAGGGAGGGAAGAAAGTACAAGCAATGACAAAGGTCGCATTGTGAATGAAAGTACTAAAACAGAACAAAGTATAACAAAGGAAGAAAGTACACGACGAGGAGAAAGTACAAGAGCTTTATTTCGAGCTAGGCGAACTAATAGTTTACAATCGAAAACAAAACAAAAAGCAGAAGACTTTCAAAATAATGATAGATTAACAAGAGCGCCAGAAGCATGGCCAGACAAGGGATTGTTATTGTGTTCACAAAACAACACAGACCAGAACACAACCAATAGACAGAGTACTGAAAGTCCTCATGAAGAAGTAAAGTGTATAGAATCTTACTGGGAAAAGGTAAAAAGACTTGTTGAAAGTAGAGCTGAAGTTAATGCTGATGTTGATATTGATGCTTACATAGAAAAGGTTAAACAGAGGTGTATTAGACTGCTAGATACCATCAATGATGTCAATAGATTAGATGAAGCTAGACAAGAGAAGAGGGCCATAATATTTTCAGCATATAATAAAGGTCAAAACACACACAGCTTCAATGAAAGTCCGAAAAAAAATGCTACCATAGAAAATATTTTACAGAAGTATTTGAAGAACGACACCAGAGAACGGCATCAGCCGATAGGAAACAGAAGCTTCAACGAAGAAATGGACAATGTCAATGAATGGGAGAGACAGTTCTACAAAAGTCCAAGGCAGAACACGGTCATACAAGAAATTTTACAAAAATATTTAAAGAATGGTACCACAGAACAACCTCTTACCAACAGGGACAGAAGTGTCCGCCTTTTGGAAACAAGACAAAGATCACTCAGCAGTCAACGATTCTCAGCAATTAAATCTTCAAAAGAGTCACATGCCCCTTATAAGACTGTCCAAAGTGCAACTCAAATGACACGAAAGTTACATCCATCTATATCCCAAAAACAAGGGAATGATTCTCTGAAGATCAATCCTCAAGCCTCAGGTCGGTCTTCAAAAAAGTTCCAAAGAACAATAACCAATACTCCAAAGAAGATTCAGTTTCACCAAACGAGAAAGCAACAAACTCCAACAGCGTCTCCAAAGAACGTCAAAAAGAAGAGATTGAGAGCCCGAAGGATCAATCCTCAGACAGAAAAGGATGATTTGCTAAATACTATTTATAAACCCAGAAATTATGTTTCGTGCTTCCCAATGGACTACAGTATTTCAATCCTAAGTGATACAGATGAAGATCTAATGAATGGAAAACAAAGGTCTAAAGGCATTAGCAAACAGTATAGTAAAAGTCGAAACAACAATTCAATACAAGGGCTGAAATTTGAAACAAAAAAAGAAATAAGAAATAATATTAAAAAGACAGATTACTCCATATTCCTGGCGAGTTCAGTCTCAAAAGATTACCACAAGAACTTCGATACTATTAAACTAGAAGATGCCAAAATACATGAAACAGAACGTCATGCTAAGAGACTTGAAAGGGCAAGTGATGCTGAGAGACTTCAAATGGAAGGTGATGATGAAGTAACGATTGGTAATAACCAATGTGTGTCTGAGAAAACCACAGATAAGAAGACAGGTTTCAGACAAAAGTTGAAAGCATTTAAAGAATACATAACTCACACAAAAAATCAACGAAGCGCAAAAGTAAGCGCATTGGATCACGCCCAAGGAGAATCTAAAATGGCGACAAAAGAAGAAAACAAGAGAAACAAGAGGATGAGAAAACAGAAAAAGAAAAATGCAAAAGAAAACATTGAGAAAATTTACGGTGCACAGAAAAAGTTGGTAAGAATCATTTATATGTTATGCAATTTAATTAAAAGTCTAGTTTAATTGTAATATATTAATGGGAAAATATCAATTATTATATAATACGGTAATATTTCAATTGTTATACAGCATGGTAATATTTTAATTGTTATATAATACGGTAATATTTCAATTGTTATATAATATGGTAATATTTCAATTGTTATATAATATGGTAATATTTCAATTGTTATATAGCATGGTAATATTTTAATTGTTATATAATATGGTAATATTTTAATTGTTATATAATATGGTAATATTTTAATTGTTATATAATACGGTAATCTTTCAATTGTTATACAGCATGGTAATATTTCAATTGTTATATAATACGGTAATATTTTAATTGTTATATTGCATGGTAATATTTCAATTGTTATATAATATGGTAATATTTCAATTGTTATATAGTATTGTAATATTTCAATTGTTATATAGTATGGTAATATTTCAATTGTTATATAATACAGTAATATTTCAATTGTTATATAGTATGGTAATATTTGAATTGTTATATAATACGGTAATATTTCAATTGTTATATAGTATGGTAATATTTCATTAATTTATATATTTATATTTCTTTTCAGATAATATAATATATTCAGACGAAAGATTCAACTGAAGGATATGTTTTATACATGTGCTTCAACAGTCGACCTGAACTTATCAGTATTTCCAGAAATTCCACCAATATAAAACAATTCCACAGAATTACCAAATTTCTGAATTAACAAGATATGAAATAATTATATAAACTCTATAAAGACTATTTGGAAAATCACAGTAGGATAGTATAATATCAACATGGTGGTCAAAATAGAAAATTATATTCAAATGGAAGAAATATATCAATGCATTTTACATAATAGATTTGTATATGAATATGCAAACTTTATTGTAAATATATTTTTTATATAAAATTTTTTTGTAATATATAATGTCTTTTTATGTAATTTGAGATTATCAAAACTGGTCTAAAACTGTAGACTCTAGAGTGTTTACAAGGAAATGTTTACCACTGACAGCCCAACCGAAAGACAGACAAACTGGCTAACCGAGGATAGACATGGCCACAGACAATATATTAAAATTCTAGCATTATATTGCTAAGACAGCAGAAAGTTAAAGGGGTAACATCATTCTATCATTCAAAGGAACACAAACTCTGTTTCTATATGTGGCAAGGCACTCATATATGAACTTTTCTCATGACAACACAGTTTCATTAAAGGATAATTAAGTAAGCATTAGATTCTACAGTGTTTACCAGCAAATAATGAGAGTGGCCATGAGTGGCATGAAACTGAAAGTGGAGTTGGATACTTATGAATGCTAGTTTTATTTGCAACCATACTCAAATGGTGATTACTATGGTGTGATAGCACCCATATTACCATGGGTGCAAAAAGATGCAAACATATCAAATTTAAGAAATATCAATATGTGAATATTCATATTAGATCAACATTTATTTACAATTTAATAATATTTACACAAATCACCAATAACATACACAAATTATACATAGTCTTACAACATTATATATTAGTTTATTCTTTATTAAAATTCATTTACATTAATTAATAATACATACATGTTATATTTTAAAGGGATTGTAAAAAGGTTTTATTTTTTCACGTGTATCGGCGACACTGATAGTAACAATTTGCACCATAAAACATATTTTGCATTTAATGACGTCATCAAATACTAAGTTTTAGTGGAATTGCAGGAACCACAGATGTCTGGTTGAAATTGAAATGGCGCAAATTGATGCTATCAGTGTCCCAGAAATTTTTTTTTTTAATTTTATAAAAACTCTTTACAATCCCTTTAAATCTGAGCAAATTTGGTTCAAATAACAGAACAATAACCTCTTATCTGCTATATATGTATATAACTAACAATATTTTGACATTTTCACCACAAATCAATAGGTTGATAAACTTTGCAAGTGGACTAGAGTATATTAAAGGTAATTCTTCAATTGATTAGCTTTTAAGGGGCATTATGATTTTCTCAATGTTAAAAAAAAATTGCTGTAATTCATGAAAATTATACACAGAAAACTTAACTTATCTGAAACTTAAAAAATCTTGCTGTATTTTTTTTTATCATGAAAGTTTTGCTTAACCACTTTTAAAGATCTGATATTTAGGGATGAAACAATCTATAGATCAAACAATAAACCTGTATTCAATTCATTTTATCAATAACAAATAATCAAGATGCGTGGGTAATGAAAATACATTTAAAGATTGAAGATAAATAGCATTAAAGATCTATGTTATACAAGCCTATTTGGTGATAAGTGATGTCATCAAACACTTAGTTTTAGTGGAATTGCAGGAACCACAGACGACTGATTGAAAATTGGAATGAGCAAATTGATGCTATCAGTTTCCAAGATACACATACAAATTTAAGAAAACCTCTTTACAATCCCTTTATATCCAATTGACACTAAAGAATACACTGTAGAACTATGTACACACTGCTTAGAATCATATTGTATTATAGAGGTTAAATTAATTAGTCAAAACACCTGGGATAGCCACTTTAAATACTTCTTAGAGTTAAAAATAAACATATTCAGTTTAACTAGTCACTAGAACGGGTAAAATATAACAGATAAACTAATAGGAAACTTAGTCATATGTCTATATACAGTTATCTCCCTTGGAATTTAAAATTGGATCCAGCCAAACCTACTGAGCTATTAACATAAAATAAATGACTACATTTCATATTAGTCATATCAACCACTTCAAGAGGCGTTAAAACAGATAGATTATTATGCCTTCTTAGTGTTTCAGTGGAACTTGTATTTGAAACCATGTTTTGAATCGCTTTTATTATACAAGTATTGAGATTTGAGTTTATACGAAGTATCACATTATGCCATAAAATATTTTGTTTAGATAACATTGTTTACACTATCTTCGCAAAAAACATAGTATCTCATAAAAATAGCTTTTCAGTTACTTTTCAATTAGTTTCTTTTGAATAAAATTTTGACATAAATATATATGAAAAAAGTTACCACGAAATATAACAAAATCATAGTTATTATCATAAAACTGTCCGTATAAGCTTATGTATTACTATATCAATGTCAATGGTATATATTAGTTTCCATTGTATTTCTAGTCTTTAAAATTGCGTTTGATTTAAAATTAGTTTTCACTGTAATAAAATAATCTTTCACCTATTCAGTCAATCATTCAGGAAACTAAAGATAGTATTTAAGCAACAATTAACCAGAAAATAAAGATTATGGCCACCCAGAGAAAGATCCTGGATAAAAACTGTTCTTCAGTATGTTGAGCTGAACCAGGTGGGGCTATAATAGAATAGTAATACAATTATAATAATATAACAACATAACTGCAAGATGCTGGTTTCACAAAAACTTAAAGATGGGTTCCCTTATTTTTATTTATGAAAATGAATCTGCTAATACTTATATGAATAGAAAGTAGAGATGTTCTAATGGCTTGGAAAAATACCAGTTTGCCCATAATTAATTCATAATTAGCTAAATTTGATGAGAATAACCAGCAGAATTCCAATGAGTAATCCATCAAGAATGGTCAAAAAGTCTTATTTTGTTTATCCAGACTGTACATACATGGACATTTATGATTGGTTAAAACTGTTCCTTATAAGAAAATAATGATATGATTAAGAATACATGAGAATTCATTAATCAAATATTTTGCTTAATTTGACACTTAAAAATAAGGAAACCCATCTTTAAATTCAGATTTCGAAATAAAATGGGCAAGAGAACTCAAACTTTTTAATGTGTTCTGTGGTCATTTATGGCTTCCATTTTCATCATTCCCATTTTGTGTCAGATGCTTTTAAATATAGGAACACAATACAATATTATGAAATCGCTATCAGAAGAGGTAAGCATAACATATTTATAAGCTTAGGTCTTTGTAATATTTACTTCATAAAATGCTTAATTTCAATGGAATGGCAAGACTGATTCTGACCGAAAATTGGAAGGGTGCAAAACAACACAATCAGTGTCCATGATATACATATTCGTTGTCGCAGCCGACACTTTCTAATAGCATAGAGAGTAAGAACAATACAGAAAACAACTCTCCTCCCTCAAATTGTGAAATGAATAAATTTAGCTATCTTTCCTTTGACTTATCCAGCAATCATAGTAAATGAGCTTTTTGACATAAAATTGCAAACAATAAATTGAAATATAAAACAAAACTTACGAGGTCCTGGTCGATTATCAGACATATTAAAAGATGAAGTAAAAATACCAAATGGAAAGGCACCAATACCAAAAGAAAACTGAAACCCTGCATCGCCAAAACCAAAGCCTGGAAAACCCTGAAAAAAGAATCATTTTGATGAGCATGGACAGGTTTTGGACTAACCGAAATCTTAATCATTTTAGGTAAGAAAACATGCATGATTAAACGTGTCTTAAACCCTATGCTAACAAATCTGGCCTTACCTGTTCCTCGGACGTGATACACAGACTTCTGCAGGTGCAAACATAAATTGTCACTCTTTGTGGGAGTTGCTCCAATCCATTTTAGGATCGCTAGGTTATGACTTATTTTCACCATGACAAAAGCCAAATTGGGCATAACTATTGGTATCTTTACATAGCTCAACAATTAATGAGTAAATCAAGACATTACTGCATGTTCTAATTTAATGACCATGTTCCCGACACTGTACCACAATACAGTTGAGAGATAGATTTTCTCTTCGTTCAACTCTGTAAGTTAAAGGGACAGATGCGCCATTTTGGGAGGTTGATATTAGTATTGAAAATATATAAATAGTCTTAAGAAGTACAAAAAATGTACAAAATTTGTATAATTCCTCCAAAAATACTTCAAATTAGGAATATTACTCACTATTTCTATATAGTTCTTTTCTATATATCACAGAGTATCTTAACTTCATTTTAACATTCTAACGCAGATAATTCTGTACAGATGGATATGAAGACTCAAATTTTGACGGTGAGCTGTGAACACTAATTAATACTGATTGGCCTAGCTAAGAGAAATTCTGAAGTAAGTATGATTGGTCAAAAGAAATGCGCATCTGTCCCTTTAAGCCTATCTCTAACTTGATGATAAACTTACCCCTGTAGTCTCTGGTTCAGGGCGTTGACCTTGAGGTCTTGGTGGTAATTTTTCTCTGAAATCAAAATACAAAAAGCTTTTAAAAAACTAGTATTTTAAAATGTATTTGTAGATAGAACTTGAAAAATATAGGTGCTTTCAACATTGTTAGTAGGCCTATGTGCACAACCATCGTATCAATACCCATTGCTACCAATATAGTAGGGCCAATTTTGATTGGACAATATTAAGCTATGAATACGTAATACACCATGACCCCAATCGCTCAATTCTATAGATATATATAACTCTACCTTCTTTCATAAATCATACAAAATGTTTAAGGACAGAGAAAACATGCCTCAGTATTCTGGTGACTGGTGAGACACACATTGACATTGTAGACATTGGTACTGTGATGTCTATCAGGAAGCAAACAATCCTTTTAACAAAGTTCAGATAAATCGAAAATACCTGGGATCTTGTGGGTTAGGGTTACCCCTACCATAAATAGGTATAACTTTGTCTTTACCAATACCAGCTTTACAAACAGGACATAACTGTCGGTGAGGTCTTGTTTCTAGCCATTGATGTAAACACGGCCAACTGAAAAGAAATTAATACGATCAAATTAATCATACAGGACCATATTCTTAAGGATCAGAGTGTAGATGGTCTAAAAATGCATAATTTATGAACAGCAATAAGGTAGACATTTGGTTCAAAAAAATTGGTTGTGCTACCTTAGGTAATATAGAGGTTATAAGAAAACAACATAACACTTCCTCATTGGTCACTTCAGTTTTTCAGCAGTTTTGGGCACAAATACATTAAGATACATACCAAAATAAATGCCCACACATTGAAACAACTGCATCATGAGCAGTATCTAAACAAATGTTGCATTCGTAAGCAGCAGTTTTATCGTCATCCTCACCGGGTCCTGCCGAATTCGATCCGCTTCCACTAGCTTCTGCCGACGTTGAGGGTTTTTCAGTGTCACTACTCATTTGAAATAATGTCTAGGTAACTGTTGAATGAAAAAAAAGCACAATGTAGAGAGTGATATTGTCAATTTGATGCAATTACATGTTATTCTTCATCATCGCAATTTTTCCAATCAAACCGGAAGTCCACGAATTATTAAATAACGGGAGGTAATTCATATTTCTTAAGGATGTCAGACAACAATAATCTCAACATCACATTATAGACGTGTCAATTAAAAGCTCGGAGGCATGCATTCACGTACTCTCTGCTTATTATGAACAAAGAAAACTTTTGTTATGCTAGCTGGACTATTTGAATTGATCATACTAATTTTATAGATTTGTAGATTACTGCATTTCTGCATTTAACAGTGACTCGGAACAGGATAGTTTTCCAACATAGGCCAAGATAAAGGATAGACTCCGACTTTGGTTATAGATTGATAAATTACTACAATGAGACAAAATGTTAATAATAGAGCGACTCCTGGACAAGTAGAACAACAACATATCAACAGAGTGAATCTGATCATGCTTATAGAATTCCAGATAACTTCAAGTAGACCAATCAACAGGGTGACTTGTAGGCCTACTACGATTATATGTGTCTAGATTACTACAAGTAGACCAAATGATATCAACAGAGTACTACGATTATAGGTATCTAGATTACTTCAATTAGTACACCAAATGATATCAACGGTTCTAGATTTATAGATTACTACAATTAGTAGACCAAATAATATCAACAGAATGACTTGTACTACGGTTATAGAATTCTAGATTACTACAAGTAGACCAAAGGATATCAACAAAGTGACTTGTGCTACGGTAATAGGTTTCTAAATTACTACAAGTAGACCAAATGATATGAACAGAGTGACTTGTACTACGGTTATAGATTTCTAGATTACTACAATTAGTAGACCAAATGTTATCAACAGAGTGGCTTGTACTACGGTTATAGATTTCTAGATTACTACAATTAGTAGACCAAATGATATCAACAGAGTGACTTGTACTACGGTTATAGATTTCTAGATTACTACAATTAGTAGGCCAAATGATATCAACAGAGTGACTTGTACTACGGTTATAGATTTCTAGATTACTACAATTAGTAGGCCAAATGATATCAACAGAGTGACTTGTACTACGGTTATAGATTTCTAGATTACTACAATTAGTAGACCAAATGATATTTACAGAGTGACTTGTACTACGGTTATAGATTTCTAGATTACTACAATTAGTAGACCAAATGATATCAACAGAATGACTTGTACTACGGTTATAGATTTCTAGATTACTACAAATAGATCAAATGATATCAACAGAGTGACTTGTACTACGGTTCTAGATTTATAGATTACTGCCAGTACTTGCCATGATATAATGGTATAAGTAATGATATTAATAGAGTAAGTAATTGGTTTATACATTTATAGCAATTGTATTAGTAATAGTATCATTAGAGTTATAGATGTCTAGATTACTACAAGTAGACCAAATGATATCAACAGAGTGACTTGTACTACGGTTATATATTTCCAGATTACTACAATTAGTAGATCAAATGATATCAACAGAGTGACTTGTACTACGGTTATATATTTCTAGATTACTACAATTAGTAGATCAAATGATATCAACAGAGTGACTTGTACTACGGTTATAGATTATAGATTACTGCCATGATATAATGGTATAAGTAATTATATTAATAGAGTAAGTAATTGGTTTATACATTTATAACAATTGTATTAGTAATAGTATCATTAGAGTAATCGGACTAAGGTTATAGATTTTAGATTACTAGAAGTACAAAAAGTTTATTAGTGTTACTATTTACAGATAGACTCTAGATGTACATTTTATAGATTACTATAAGTAAAGTAAGTGTTTTAGTATAAGATTCGGACTAGGGTTGTATAATTATAGATTACTACTATTACAGGAAGTTTATTAGTATCCATATTAACAGTGTCGGACTTGGGCCGATGGTTATAGATTTATAGATTACTACTATTACAGGAAGTTTATTAGTATTATTATTAACAGATTTTTAATCTCCGACTAAATTGTGGTTAATCGATAATAATAAAAATATAAATATTCTATAATTCTCTATTTCACACTTCAGAACTGATTTGAAGTTTCTTATCGTAAAGTGTTCTTCTGGAAACTCTCGATTGTCGCCAACATTGCATGGATGACGCCAATGACATCGATTCTGGTAGACAAAACTTCCACGGGGTCATTTGCCATTCTACTAGATTTAGAAGGCTTTATAAGCTTTGTTTGTGTTTTTTATTGCAGCTCTCTGATTTTACAACTAGTTTCATAGAATTACTTTTTAAATTAATTCTTGCAGGGAATACCAAAAGCTATCATCAAAAAGTCATCCAAAACTCACATTTGATGTTAAGCCTACCCTTTTGCAATACCACAACAATGTAAAGTGAACGACCGACCATACATTTTGTTATTGAATGTCTCAAGGGAAAGCCTAACAACAAAGGGTTTCTTCTCTAATCGTGCTAGACTGTATTAAAAGACAATTCACGAAATTCTTTATTTCATTCAACTCAAATCTACAATGATTTAACTTTATCGTTTTTTTTTAACAAAGACGTATTTCCCTTTCGATATATTGAATGATTCTTTGACTTACTTGGCCTATAGACGCCTTTCAATAAATACAAATCAATGTTCAACAATAATCGATTTTGTCGTAAGAAAGGTGTACACTATTTTGTTAAAAGGGTTTACATGCATTTACCTGAACTAAATCCCGACTTCAACTTAAGGTTCGTTAACTTTGTTTTAACGTTTTATTTTCATTACCAAGCCGACAGACCACAGACAATATTCTAAAGTTTACGTACCCTTTAAAGAGTACTCGAGCGCACATTATATATGGATTCTCATGGCTGCCACTTTAAAATAAACACATACGACCGAATATCACAGTTGCTCACAATTTCAATGGTTTTAAATCCAGTTTGGCCATTATGAGTTCAGTCCGATATAATGCAAATCGTTTCGTGTTTTTTTTTAAAGGTAGCTATCGTTTCTATCTAGGTCTGACAACATTCTTGTTTAAATCACGTTCTTATCGGAACAATTTGTAACCAATCAAAAACAATATATATATACATGCATGGTTAGACAATACAAGTCAATAGTATTTAACCAGTGAATATCCTTGAACTCCTCATATAAAATAAGGAAATCTTTTATTGAATATAAATTTGATTGGTTGAAATGAAATGACAAGAGATGTATGAAAATTTTATCAGATCATTGATGTGAAGATGAGTAACTTGCAAAAAAAACCGAAACGATACATCAATATAGATCTGCCTTTATGCCTTTTTAACCAGGTTTTAAGCACAATCGTAGAAAAGAATTTAAAGACTGTCGGTGGCAATAACAGTGTTATAAAAAGGTTATCTGTGATTAATTATTAATATTTCACAGAGTTTGACATTTTAAAAAAAATAAGCTTTATTCTTGGACAATCGAAAGTTCAGTTCCGTTAAGAATACGCAATTAGTAGCACATATCGATAGCCTCGACCATTCGTGATAATCTCAAAATTGCAGGAATTGGAACCTGTTCGATTTCAGATTGGATTTCATACAGACATGACATAACGACAGAATATTGAATACTTGTTTTCGTGCTACTCTATCATGCTAATATTTAAATACCATTTTTTCTTCTTTAAAAACTACTTAACATTTCTAGAGTCAGGCAACATTAAACGTCCATAATGTTAAATACCTTTTCTTTTCAGCTAGGGACTGATTAGACGGAAATATGTCATTATTAGTAAATTATTGCGTTGTGGGCATTATGATATGGTGAACTGTTTGTTGGGCGTTTATCAATCAATGGTTATGGTTTGTTTTAATCAATATTATACTACATTAGGACAGACTGAACCATATACAATTAGTACTTCATAGTCATTATACTTAACTCTTCTGGATATTAGTCACGGTACCATTTCAGGTAGGGATATTTTAGATCTATGATATATAAGGTGGTGGGTGGAAGGAGGGAGGGAGTCAGATCTTATAATTTTTTTTTTGTACTATACTGAAAAGAAATATTCAAGGGAAGATATATTTATACCATATTTGGTACTCTTAAGTGACCATTGACGTAAGCATTAAGAACACTTTAGTACCAGTTTTGAGGGGGAGGGGAGGGGAGGGGAGGGGGTGGAGGGTAATGAACTATTTTATAGCCTGTGATCATTTAGTACGATGTGATGCTTGATTGTGATTTTTTTATATGATTATCCTGATTCAGTAGATCCGTTTATGTACCTGACGTAACTTTATGGTTTTGGGTTCAATACGTTCATAAACAGCGGTCCGAAAATTTTCGCGTCCTTTGACACGAATGGGAGTATTTTGGCGGAGTAGAATGTAAAAGTTTTGGTTTCAAAAGTAATATTCAGTTCGGTTGTAGGTTATTAGGTGCGGTTTAATACAATACTTGATTGCGAGCATTGACATTTTCATTTTGTGGTGGGCGGTTGTCCTGTTTTTTTCTTCTCTATTTTTACACTCAAATAGAAACGTAAAAAACGATGGTTTAGATACATGAATGTAAGGAAAACTTTGGAAATATGTGTACATATTTCACAAAAACACAACACTGAATGATAATCAATGAAAATATCAAAAAACTAATATTTGAAGAAATTCCAGGGGCTGAAAATAGAATTATGAGAAATGTTTTGTTTTTAGCCGTATTTTTCAATGTTCCCAATTACACTGTAGCTAATTTATGACTAATACTGAAAACTTCACCCATGAAAGTTATCTATTCGCGCGAAGAGATAAATATGTTGGTCATATCTCTTACAAGTTTGGTGACATTTAAAGATGGGTTTCCTTATTTTTAAGTGTCAAATTAAGCAAACTATTTGATTAATTGGTTTTTCTAATGAAATATCATGTATTCTTAATCATATCATTATGTTCTTATTGAATATAATTAATAGTTTTAACCAATCATAAAAATGTCCATTTATGTACAGTCTGAAAAAAAACCTTTCTTGATCGGTAACTCATTGGAATTCTGCTAGTAATTCTCTTCTAACTTATGCAGTTCATCAAATCA